TGCGAGAGTTACAGCCTATTTTAGGTATTAAGTTATGTCGGTGTATCGTCCGCAATACCATACAAATGGCAATATCTCAACAAAATCAAATAAACTTTATTTGACATAGATACTTGATTGAAAAGTGGAGACGACGACGTTACCAGGGCCATCCAGAATTTAGATGAGGTAAATAGTTTCTAGGAATAGGAATTAAAGTCAAAGTCAGGTCTTTAAAAATGAGAGATACATATATTTGTTTGTAACGCACCCAACGGCCTTCTTTGCCCTGTATCTTGCATTGCATTGTACATATACTTACATCTTACATCTTTTGCGACAAAAATTTGCTGCATTATTGAGAGCAAGGTACATTAATTTATCCATCTTTGAAAAATTTTGAATGAATTTTCGGGCTGAGCACTTAGCAGTGAGCAGACCAACTTCGGGACAGTTGACGGCATAGAACGAAACGTCCGCAACAAAAATAATTGCCCGGCTGAGGTACTCGTGATAGGGAAGGTAGCGCATGAGAACCTTAAATACGGAATTTATAATGAACTCTACGATTGAGCGGTCTGCGCTGAACGTAAAACGAAATATTATACGAGCCCGCCACCGGAGAGGACAAAAGAGTAGAGAGGGGAAATGGGCAAGCACCTGGCGCCCCACCGCGAGCCGGCTAGACCGCTCGGGATTGGGCGCAGCGATGCGGCCCGTTGTATATAAAAACCCGAGCCGAGCTGCGTTAGTCATTCGTTTGCAGATCGAACACAGTGACGCAATGGCACCGAAAGCAAGTGGTAAGGCAGTGAAGAAAGCGGGCAAGGCCCAGAAGAACATCACCAAGGGTGACAAGAAGAAGAAGCGCAGGAGGAAGGAATCCTACGCCATCTACATCTACAAAGTCTTGAAACAAGTTCACCCCGACACCGGAGTTTCCTCCAAGGCTATGTCTATCATGAACTCCTTCGTCAACGACATCTTCGAACGTATCGCCGCCGAAGCTAGCCGTCTCTCCCACTACAACAAGAGGTCCACCATCACCTCCCGGGAAATCCAGACCGCTGTCAGGCTCCTCCTCCCCGGAGAATTGGCCAAGCACGCCGTCTCGGAAGGAACCAAGGCTGTCACCAAGTACACTAGCTCGAAGTAGATTTTCTCTTCATCCGGCTCCTCACTTTAAAACGGCCCTTTTCAGGGCCACCACATTTGCGAGCACTCACTCCAAACCAATTAACAGTCGAAAACGTGAATTTGAATTACCGTGTGATCTCAAAATTGTCATTATACCCAAATTTAATGCGGCTACATGTTACGGATCAGTTTCTTACATAGCCTTGTGCGTAACGTTAATTATTGTTTCCCCATCACACGCAGCGCAGCGTAGTGGCGTATCTCGTCCCTAGATCACATAGAATCACTTATCTTCCAACAATACTTTCGCACAGGACTGTGGTTGGGTTGGTTCTGTTTAGATCTCTGTTCACGATGCCGGAAGGTGGGCTTCTACGAATTTGACGAGATTTTTCCGAACTCACGAATAGACTTCAGATAAAATTAATAATTTCTTAGGGTAAGGCTCAAAAATGGAAATTTTGCTATTTTAGCGATACGTGTTGAAAGATTCAAAGAATTAGATGGAGCCCCACCAAGGCGGGAAGGAAGTTCCATCTCACATTGGATGCTTACAAATTGGATTTTGTCAGCAAATTTTTCACAATTATATTTCAAAATAAAGTGGATAATATTTTGCAATAAGGAACCACCTTTCCGCATAGGGAAACCGATGATCTATATGTTGTTTCCAAAAATTTTCCTTAGTGGAAAATGTTGTACTATTATAGTTGAAATCTCTAATAACTCGATTTTCCAGTGACTCCACGCGAACGCGCCTCGTCAATTGAGCCCCTTAATTGAACGAGTGAGTTCCAAAACGCCCAACTCGGGTTTTTCTCGATTTTTACTTTTTAATGGTTTGGTAACACTTATAGATAGGCGCATCTGCACGCAAAATGAAATTTCTAAATTGCAATCTGAAATGCTCGAAACGGCGACGGGAAAAGGGCAGTGAGGAAAAAACACGCCCTATTTTTTATCTTCTCTATATCATGTAAGAGGGGAAGCGGTGGAATTTTCCACGGCTGCTGGCTCACGAAACACTTTCCTAGGGTACTCAGTTTCATCAAGTAAAATATTTGCCAGAAAAAGTACTGCAAAAAGAAAAAAATCAGTATTTCATCGGAAATACCGATTTTAGGCCGTTCAAGAGAAACGGGTGGATTGTATCAACAAGTTTTAAAAATATTCCAGGGTTACATGTCAAAAAATATTAATGTTCCGGGGCGATCCATGAAAAATCAGCATCTGAAAGTCGGTGAGAACGAAAACACACCAACTCAGCAACTCGTAGACGCCTAATTCTCTGTCATTAAACATAGCGTATCTATTTCAACTTTGACCTTTCCTCCAAGAGCTTATCCTTCGGCACCAAAAAGCTCCTTCTTGAAGCAACTTTTTCGCCGTTCAATTGTGATTCCCAAGGGGCCATCCATAAATTACGTAAGGCACTTAAGGGGGAAGGGCGAGGGCTGAGACTTACGTGAGCTTTCCAGCCAATTTTTAAAGAAAATGCAAAAATCCATCTTAAGTCAGGTTGATGGTAAAATTCAAGATGAAATATAGGAAATCAGCAGTCAGCACATCACCGATTGCTGACCAATCGGACCAAGCCTCTTGTCATTTCTCTAATATAATGGGAAAAAGTGCCTTACGTAATTTATGGATGGTAAGAAGGGTACGAAATAAAATTGAAATGACGAGCAACAGAGGAAGATATACTGCCTATCTTTCTCGTTTCAACTTGTGCGATCGGGGGCTGGGTGTGGAATCCGCACAAAAAGCACCGAACAACGCAGGAAACTACTCCTTACTTCGGTTTTTA